TAATTTTTAACTAATTAATTAGATACATGTGACCAAATTGCATATAATTGTGACCTTAACGATTGCAGGAATCGGAGCAGTTGTGGGGAATTAAGCGGCGGCAGAACGGTCATCGGAATAGTCGTTAGATCTTCATTTTTTTACTCATCACAAAAGTATTAGCCATCAATGGGGCAAGCCAATTAAACAAATGGAGAGGAGATGAGACTTAGCCTATTATATAGAAACTTATTGAGCTCTCCCATTAATGACAACTCTAATTGAGGTTCAGGCCCACATACTTAAATTACCACATTGCATATGATATAACCCTATACAACTAAGATGTAAAAGAATAAGGGCCCGTTTGATTGTAAGGGTAGAAAAAAAAATAATTTTCAATGAAAATAATTGCCTAAAAATTATTTTGCAAGGAATTGTTAATTAAGTGTGTTTGATTGGTATAATTTTCCACCCGAAAAATTTTAAAATTTTGTATTTGACTTTGTTTTACATGGAAATTGTCCATTAAAATGATTTTTCTTTTAATTTTTACAATTGGTTTTGAAATTTGTTAAAATTGCCAAAAAGTTAAAAAAAAAAAAAAATTGCTCGAAAACTATTTTTTCATCAAAGTTTAGTATTCGTTTGACTTCGTTTTATATGGTTGTCCATAAAGTGAATTTTTTTAATAATTGGTTATTAAATTTGTTAACATTGCCAAGAAAAAAAAAAAAAAAGGAAAACTGGTAGAACCTAGAAAAAGCTTTCCCACCAAAATGGTGGGAAAATGAATTCAAGGAATTGAGGGAAATTGTGACCGTGTGAAGTAAAGTGGGTATTCCAATTTCCTAGAAAAAAAACATATCAAACAATGAAAAAGTAGGAGCTTTTCCATTCTCCATGGAATTGGGTAGCTATCAAACACACCCTAAGTGATTACTCAACATATTGGGTTTAACTATTGTAACATTGTGAGTTATATATCTAACCCGTTTTATAAACATAAATTTTGTAATCAAATGTGAAGCCCATATTTTGAAATTATTTTAACATTCTCCAACTTGGGCGAACATTTGATTGCTATAGTAATAATAATAATAAAACTTTTTAACTCTCAAGTTAGACTACATAGGTGGCCATAGATATATAGGTCCAATGATAACACCTTAGAAAACAGAATCCGGTTCAACAAGAATATCAATATTGAACATGAAAGTCGTTACACCATTTAAACGATGCAAGACCATTCCACAACTACAAATGCTAATATCTTTATCGACATGGATTCTCATCCTCCAACCAATGTGGTAGTATGTAGTATGAATTTAGCACCAAATGTGATACAAAATGTGCTAACTCATATCGGTCTTCATAATGCTTCAAATCAAAATAAAGCCACGTCTCTAAAAGAAATTCATCTTATGTCTTTATTCGTTATATCCCGAGATCATAATAATATCATAATAAAAGACACAAGCCAAATGCACGCTCAAAAATAATTTATGGACATGAGAAAATATATTTTATTATTGAGATGAAAGGGGTTGTACCCGAAAAATATATGAGTTGCCTACATACCCCGTGAAGGGATTAAGCCAAAAAACCCATATTAGCAACATGTATCTTAAAAACTTTTGGAGCAAGTCCCCAAGTCAAAGGATTTGCAATCATCGCCTCTATATTGATATGCACTATTTTCGTCCGCCTTTCCTTAACTTTGTCTCTAATCACCAAATACTTGATGTCAATGTGCTTTCACTCACCTGAACTTTTATTATTCCTTGAAAAGAATACCATTGCGCTATTATCATAATAAATAGTAATTGGCCTTGAGATAGAATCAACAACTTTCAACATAAAAATAAAATTTCTTAACCAAACGGCTTGGACCGTGGCTCCATAACATGCCACAAATTCATCCTACAGAGTAGAAGATGCCACTAGAGTCTGTTTAACACTTTTCCAGGAGATAGCACCATCGGCCAACAAGAAAATATAACCTGAAGTTGATTTCAAATTATCTTGACATCCAACAAAATTAGAACCTAAGTAGCCTATCACCTTAAGGTGATTTGAACGCTGAAAAGTAAGCATGTAACCTTTAGTTTTCTTTACGTATCTGATAACTTTCTTAGCTGCTTTCCAATGCTCTTGACCTGGATTCAACTGAAACCTACTAAGAACACTGACTGCGTAGGCTATATTTGGTCTAGTACAAACTTGAGCATACATCAAGCTCCCCACAACATTAGCATATAGTATCATCTTCATAGATTCCCTTTCTAGTTCATTCATTGGACATTGAACTTTGTTAAAATTATCCTCTTTTAT